CTCTGACCAGGTGTTGGGGGAAGGCTTTGGGTGGAAACGGCAAAGAGCAGCTGCCAGTCAGAGTAGGATCTTCTTAGTCAAAGGTGTTGAGAAACTTTGATCATACTGTGAGAAGGCATGACTCTCTAGAAAAGACAATGGTGCTAGATAAGGTAGAAGGAAGCAGGAAAAGAGGAAAAAAGCATTACAGGTGAATAGACTTGGTCAAAGAAGCCACAGCCCTGAGTCTGCAAGACCTGAACAGGACAGGATGTCTCATTCATAGGGTTGGCATAAATCGAGGCTGACTTGAAGGCAGTCAACACACACACACACAAGATGGAGTCTGATCTCATTTGTTGTTGTTGTGTGCCTTCCAGTCATTTTTAGCTTATGGCAACCCTTGGGTGATCCTATCATGGAGTTTTCTTGTCAGGATTTCTTCTGAAGGGGTTTGCCTTTTCCTTCCTCTGAGGTTGAGAGATTATGACTTGCCCAAGGTCAACTAGTGCATTTCCTATGGCCCAGCACAGATTCGAACCCTGATGCCCAGAGTCATAGTTCAGTCTGCAATTCACTACTTCCCACTGGCTCATACAAGGCAATTTATTATATTTCTGTGGAAGGCATAATGGGTAAGCCCTCTTGAAACAGTTTGCCAGGGAGGATACAGTGGCCTCCGTCCAGTTTGTACTCCCAGCTGGGGAAGACCCATTGAATCAATGAGGCTGAATGACTGCAGAATGATAAATCAATAATGGGACTGCTCTGGTTGGTAAATTCATCTGTTCAGTGGATCTGTTCTAGCTGAGATTAGCAATTGGATTTAGGCCAGGAACGTAGATCGCTCAGCCCTCCAGATTTTGTTGGACTATACACTCAAGCAGTCCGAGCAAGCATAGACCTCAATGAGAATGCTGGAAGTTGCAGTCCAGTAACATTTCATCATTCCCATTTTGATTTAGGCTGATGTTGGGGGAAAAAGAGAATGAAGGACAATAATATTTGCAGTCATATGTGCCTTTAAGTCATCTGATAACTTTCAGATTTCAGAGAGTTTTCTTGGGCAGTGAATATTCAGAGGTGGTTTGCCATTGCCTTCCTCTGAATAGAACCTAAAGCACCTCGTATTTCCTGGTAGTCTTCTTTTCAAGTACAAACCAGATCTGACCATGCTTAGCTTCCAAATCAGGCAGGATCTGATGCCTTCAGGGTATTTAGGCTACTTCTGGAATGAAAGATGACAAAGAGAAAATGAGGCATGTCTTAAGAGAAGAGTATGAGGTTGCATGATCTGTTCTTTTCATTTTCTTCCTGGTCCAGCTGAGTATTTAGTGCTCTCATATTCCAGGATATTCTTCTATTCTAGAACTATTGTATGGATCTTGTCCTTCTGTCAGATGCTTGCATCAGACTCTCAAACATCCCCCCCCATCCCTTGTTGAATGTCTTCTGTGGCTATTTAAGATGGCATCCTTGCTGGAAGTGGTTTCTTATGTTGTTGTGAACATTTGGTAGACAGCTGCTGTTTTTGGCATATCCTGGGTGCTTTCTGGCCATATCTTTACTCCAGCTTTTACTCCCTTGGAGGTTGTCCATCTATATCCATGGAGAGTAGAGTTGTCAGGCTCCCTTTATTATAAAGAATGTCCCTCTTATGAAATCCAGAAAGGTTGTCCCTTATTAAGTGGACAGCTGTCTCTTGTTATAAGAGGTGCCCTCTATTAGAGGGTTGGAAGACTTTTCCTTTTAAATAGATTAATAAAATTCCAAAAAATCATATAGATCAGTGTTTCCCTCCAGGTGTTTTGGACTTCAACTTTGGTCCTCCAGGTGTTTTGGACTTCAACTTCCAGAAACCCTAGCCAGTTTGGCCCATAATCAGGAATTATGGGACCTGAAGTCCAAAATGTCTGGAGGACCAAAATTTGGGAATCACTGATATAGACGGAAATGTGTGCTTCATATAATTTATGTATGTCAACAGTATGTGAATTTTACAGAAAAATAATCAGTGCTTTCATTTGGTGTTTAGTTGGAACACAGATTTGTTAAGAGCTACATCCTTATGGTCAATCCCACATGTCATAAATTACAACTGCTATTTATTGTGCGTATATGTGCTTTCAAGTTGTCTGTCGACTTATGGCGACTCCATGAATTTCACAGGATGTTCTTAGGCAAAGAAGTCTCAGGGATTATTCACACTGTGAAAATAATTCAGGATTAATGTGAGTTGAATTTTCGTTGTTCACATGCGTCCCGAATGCACTTGATTAAGTTTTTTGGGGGAGGCAGCCAACCCCCCCCACTTAATCCAGGATAATCGATATTGGGTTTCCCCCTAATTTTTTTTAAAGATCCTCATCATTGGTAGTGTGAATAACTGATGTGCATAGACCCAAATAGATCTGTGATAAAACTTTGCATGCCTTGAACATGTTCTGAATGCATTTGCATTGTTGACTCCGTCTTTATTCAAATGCTTGCACATGTGAGCAACTGAACTTGCAGAGATGTGAATCGATGTGGTTCCATAGTGTGAGTAACAAACCCAGAGTGCATGAGTGAAATGATTCGCATCATCGCACTAAAAAAGATGACATCTGAATGACCCCTCAGATGTGGCTTTGCCAGTTTCTTCCTCTGAAATATTGGCAGTCTCCCATCCAAGTACTAACCAAGGCTGACCCTGCTTAGCTTCCAAGATCACATAGGAACTGATGCCTGAAGGGTGTTAAGGCCTGTTGCTGTTTTGAAAAAGAAGCATTAATGGGGAGGGCATAACCCTGTCTTCTCTGAACATGCATGCATTGGTTGGAACATATGTCCAGTGCCCCAGGAATGCGAGATAGGGAAATATCTTTGGTACTTTTTTTCTTTGCTAGTTTTGACAATTGGAAGTCATGAACCTTTCCCCTGATCACTTTATTTATGTCCTGCCTCTTCCACAAGAGCACAAACATTCTAGATCTTCTTCAAATCACACAGAGACAAAGCTTGGAAACATTAACATTAATCCCCCCTGACAGCATAGTCTGTGGAAATGGGGAATGGGGAAAAAAGGTGTATCCATGCTGCAGAATTAATACAGTTTGAGATCACTGTATTAAGCGCTGTAGCTCCATCCTATGGAATCCTGGGATCTGTAGTTTTACATGGTCTTCAGCCTTCTCTGCTGGTGCCTCACAAAAGTACAGATCACAGGATTCTGTAGGATGGAGCTATAACAGTTAAAGTGATGTCAAATTGCATTATTTCTACAATGTAGATGAACCCTAAGGTTTCTTAAACTCTATCCAGAGAGCTACAAATGGTTCCCAATCCTCCTCCTGGACACTTCTGTTTTAATTAAGTTAATCAGCAGATTAGCCAACGAAAGCTTTAGCTCATTAACTGATGCCTTGAGGTTGTCCCAGAGAACACTGGTGGAGCATAAGAACTATCCAGGGTTCAGTCTTTGGCGTTTACAGTTCAAGGGCTGGCAAGGAGCTCAGTTAATGATGGAAGTTAGGGAGCTGCTCTCAGTCCAAGTGGCCAGTACTGGTTTATATGGACCAATGGTATAAAACAATCTCCCCCAACCTGGTGACTTCCAGAGGTGTTGGATTAAAACTCCCATCATCTCAGGATGTCAGGATGGCTACCAGTTTTGTTGGTGTTCCTTCCCTCCAACAAGGTCAAGTGGCATCTAGGTTTTGCATCTGTACGAACCATAGATTTGCCTTTCGCATCAAGTCTGAGGCTTTTGGGATTATAAATTTTGTCTCCCCATCCAAACCAAAGAGTATATATACATATACAGTCGTCCCTCCCAATTTGCGGAGGTTCCATT